GCATCCTCTTCCGCCTCCTCCGCGCCTGGCTAGGGCCGCCGCTTGCCCTCCAAGAGGAGGGCTGCTTCTTGGGGGCTGCTGTGGCCTGGCGGCGAACGATTCCTCTCTCTGACATCACAATCCGGGCCGCCTGGATGTTCCAATAAGAAATGCTTGCTGGGGGTGCGGGGGGAGGCGGCGGCGGCAGAGTGACTCATGGATTCCTATCGGGGCTGGCTCCTCCCCTCCCAGCCCCTTCCCAGCTCCTCCACATGGGCTATCTCGCAAGCCTCCCGTTGCTGAGGGGGGTGGAGTTGCTGGTGGGAAAGGCTGCTCTCGCCTTCCTTCCGTTTCCCTAACTCTGTCTTGCACCTGAAGAGCGCGGCGTGGTGGCTGAGCTGCCGATGGGGCATGGAGGGAGAGGAGGAGGAGGAGGAGAGCGCGCGCGTCTTCTCGAGCTACCCAGCCGTCCGGCGTGTCAGCATTGCAGTGGATGAGACTAACGTCCTGCCGGGGGCTCTGCAGCTGATCCGAACGCTGAGACCACAATGGGAGACGGAGCGAGTCAAAACCAAGGTACAAACGCAGAGAGCAGAGTTCGCTCGCAGTCGGTGGCAAAAACGCACTGCCGCGGCGAGAATTTTGGGCATCTTCTTGGAGGATGTCAATGGTGTCGAAGAAGGAAGAACAGCGAGGGGCGTGGGGGCGGGAATGGTACGCAGGAAGTGCAATTCGCCTCCTAGGTGTTTTTTTTTTTTTTAAAAAAAAGAACATTCAACAGGTCGAGGTTGGGTTTGGTAGCGGGAGCCTTTCCCTACTAAGATGGACCAGCCAGCACCTTAGCTCTTCCCGTTAAGCTTTAGCTGCACATCTTGCACAGGAACGTTTAGTAGTGATTTAACTTACCCATAGGATTCTCTGATCACATTGTCTTATTAAAGTGATCAAAGAGTGGATCTTTTTCACCCTTTCTGTACATGGCTCTGGGTCATGTGGGGATTCGAATCTTAGACCAACAGTTTGGCGTGCAGAAGATGATGATGAAGGCACAAAGATTATGATCAGGATGCCTTTGTGAATGTTTAGTGGATGGCACACCCACTTTGTTCTTTATGATCTTTAAACACAAGCTGAATGTTCCCCTATTTCCCCTATAAAGTCATCTGATGGTTAGAAGGAATTGATTCTTAAGTAGATAGATTTCATGTCCTAGTTCATTGTAGTCTTTCTCTTATTTAAGCATGAGGCATGCTATCCGTGGTTTGGAGAGAGGCATTTGATAGTCACTGACTCCTGTAATCTCTATTTCTGTGACTCAGTGTTCATGTCTGTAAAATAGAAGTAGAATGAACATTAACCTTCATCACCTTAGCTCTTTCAAGGGTTGGGCACACTCAGTTTTCCATTCTGTGATGATATATCCCTATAAATCACATATAATCTGTGCATAATCTGTTTTATTTATTGATTAAACCAATTTATATAGCCATGCATCTCACCACAGGTGACTCTGGGCAGCATACAACAAAGCTAAAAACAGTTAATAAATACATTAAAAATATAAAAAGCAAAATAAAACAGAATATTTATTTACTAAACCAATTTATATGTTGGTTTACTAGCCTATCTGTATGGCAGTCTCAGAATAACAAGCCACTCATGGCTCAAGCAATCCATGGAATAAGGGGTGCATTTCTGTGCTACACACTATTATTTTTTTTCTCACAGCATCTTGTACTTCAGTGCAGGTAACGCACTCAACAAGGATTACAGGAAATTGCCCTGCAGCCATGCCCACTGACCATTTTTGAGACCCTTAAAAGAGAAAATCTATAAGACACACAGTTCTTGGAAGAATCCCATTTTAATTTGGATTCACAATCAATTCAGGGTCACAATCATATGGAAGGAGCTGTAGTAAACATTGCATATGGATCCATGTGCTGGGTCTGTATAGCTGCCTTTTCCACAATACAGGCAATACACATCTAGAAAAAAATGTTTATTTTATCATCTCTGTTTATACAGTAGTTGTGCTCTTTGGAATGAACGGGGCCTTTTGTTATATACAACACACACAGTCCCTGACTCAAAGCATTTAATGACACAGTCTCACAAGATTGCAACTTTGTGCATGTGCATGTAGATTTAAGTAGTTTTACATGTTGGACATGTGAATAATTATGCTGAATAATCTGCGGTAATTAGGAAGAGAGAAGCACATTTGACTTACTTGAAGCATCTTCTAAAGAGGTACAGTAGTGTCTACTCTGATCTTGCTCTGGATGAACTAGTCAGTTTCTATTTTGCGTACTTGAATGTGTAGTTACACTTGCTTACCAAATGACAGTTACTGATCCCCATATTACCAAAGCAGGTACTTTGATGTTGGTTGATAACTGAACCTCCACTTTAATAAAGCAAGAAGAATTTCTGTTCCTCTTTTCTTGAATCCATGTCAACAACAACAACAACAAAAGAAAGCCCTTGTTAGTATTCCCTTGCAAAGAGTAACGATGCCTTGGAAAAACCTTTCTACTAAGCTGTTTCTAAATCTCGATTCTAGAACTGTCCTCTCTTTTGAGTAGCTATGGGCGAACTCCACTTGGAAATGGATTGAGATATTTTTCTCCAGAATGAAGACACATTTTTCCCATTTCCAAGAATGTGACAGAGTTCAAACAATGGCTCCTTCTCCAGCTCCTTCTATGAGCCCCCAATACCTTCTCTACCACCATGAGCTTTTGACAAGGCCAAACCAGCCATGGCCCTACATGGGGGTCTTGTCAGGCAGCAGATATGAATGTGCAGCAGATAATGAGTGATTTACTACTATAGTATTTTATACTGTCATCAAAGGCGAGGGATGCTTTGAGACATACATGCTAAAACAACAGCTTCTGGCTTAGGTAATATGCACCTTGATTGGGGGTTGGAGAAGACTGTGGGCTTCCACCACAGGGAGCAATATACCTGGGTCTCCTGTCGTCCTCCCCTCCTTTTACTACAACAAGTGGCATTGGTAATAAACAAGTGTAGCTGAAGGTCTCTGGGAAGCTTCCATTTCACAAAGTCCCTGGAGTCTGAGCAGCTATGTTGCTGCATTCAAAATGCCATTGAGGAAGGCAGATGCGTGCTCAGACCTTTGGGGAAAGCTCACTTCATAATGATAAAGTGAAAAGAAATCATATCCTATATCATGCAGAGAAATCCTCCTGCATTTTTTTGCTACCGGTTCTAATTCAGTATGAAGAAGGGGCATTTGCTTTCAACATTTCTTTTATAACAGATTTTTGATGATGATCTTATGAGTGAAATAAAATGTGCTCTTGCATTTACTTAGTTAGGAGGTGGGCTGTGTGACTTGTCCGATCTTTCATTTTATGGTTATCTCTTCAGTCTTCAGCCCTCTGGCTTTCCATGTGCAAATCCCCAAAGAAGACATCATCAACCCATGGGGAACATTTTCTTATTGGGAAGTTTGGCAGTCAGGTATGCTTTGAGTGACTGAATGATGTGTAACACAAGTCGTCATCCTGTACCACCTACAACAATAAAATAAACTTGGAAACAACACCAGCAAGAGGAATTTGAAAGACTTTCTCAAGTACCTGAGAGTAAGGTAGAAAAGAAAAATGCCTTTCTCTGGGAAAGACAACTGAGAAGTTGCAAGCCAGATCACAGCAGCAGCAAGCAGCAAGCTTATTGCCACAGCGTCACTACTGGAATCATCTGGTAGAAAATGTATTCTCAACTCTAATACTTTGTAATACTAAGCTAACAGGGTTCACCTATTCATTTATGAAGCACGTTTTTGAAGGAATATTTTGCTAGGTGGCTAACAGGAAAAACACTCATCACCACACAAGCTACAGCAGATTAAAAAAGAAGGGAACCATGGCCACTGTTACTGGCTGGGGATAAATCCTATCCTTACCCCCTGTTCAGTGTGATTCTGAAGGAATGCAGGCTTGTTGGGTATGATTGTCTGCCCAATTTGGCTGGGTGCCCTCAGCAAGAAGGCTCTCAGCAAGCCTGGGGAGTCTGTGGCAGAAGGATCATTACAAATTTATAAATTGTCAAGTATAATCAAATGGAAAAAGCAGTGGGAAAACAAATGGGAAAGGTCATTTATAAAGAGCTGGGGGGGGGGGAATACTAAGGCTATGAGTACCCTCTACTGAGGGTAGAGTTTGTTCGTATGCATGCACAGCTTTGGATTCTGCACCAGTTGCACATTTTCCTGGATTAGGGGCTCTTCTTACAGTCACTCATGTCTTGGTTACCACATGGGGCTGTCCTTGAAGAGCACCCAAAAGCTGCAGCTGGTACAAAATGCAGTGCCATGGGGAGTTATGGGCGCTCCTCAAACTGCATAGGTTATACCTGTGCTCCACAAGCTGCACCGGTTGTGCTTCCAGGTTTAATTCAAGGTGCTGGTGGTCACCTACAAAGTCCTTCATGGCATTAGGTGGGGTTATTTGTAGGACCACCTCGCCCCAGTTGTGTCCACCCATCCCATCAGACCCAGCATGAGAAGCGTGCTACAGGTCCTGTCCATTAACGAGTGGACAGGACCCAGAAAGAGGGCCTTTTCTGTCATGGCACCTGCCCTGCGGAACATCATCCCTTCAGAGATCAGATTGGCCCTGATCATGTTGACCTTTTGCAAGTCCCTGAAGACATAGCTGTGTTCTCAGGCATGAGGGTCAGAGTGTCAGAGCCTGTGAAGTGGTTGTATTGATGGTTGTCTATTGCTTTTATCTTAGCTGCCAATTTGTGTTCTGTGTTGGTGTTAGCAGTTGTTAGCCACCCAGAGTCACTTTGCTGAGGTGGGAAGCCATATACATTGAATAAAATAAATAAATAAGCAGTGCTTATTCCTGTGGGAAGGTCAGATACAATTATTTGCCTTAATTGAGGAGTGTAACCAAGCTACATCTAGGAAGCCAAAGTGGTTGCTTGTTAACAACCCCACCTCCAGTGTTTTCTTCTGTAGATGAAGTCTTGTATCTAAGATTTGTTCTTCTACTCCTTGATTTGCCCTGTATTTGCAGGATTGGGATACTGTAAACGGTTTGGTATTGGGGAGTGTGGAATGAGGTGCTTAAAACAAAGGAGATGAGAAAAATATGGAAGTAGGAAAAAGCCCACCCACAATAAATCCCTCATTCTGTCTCTGTGGCATTCTGTGAGTTGGTATACATATGGTTATTGCTACTCATTGACAGCATTCACAAACTTTGCCAGCATTGGGCAGAGTAATATGGTCAAGACATTGAAGCCTTATATACATTGAAGACTGTAAGATTATAAGGTGACTTTTGGCCTCGTTTAGCATCTCATCTCAATAGATCATCTGCCCCATTTTGCAGCTGAGCTAATTGGAAACATTTCTCTCTAATGTTCAGACAAAATAGAATTCCTGAGCATCCAGATTTCAGAACCTCCCCCCCCCCCATAGCATTCAGGACTCTTATTTCATGCTCACCTAAGCAAAAAGCCCGCTAGGAATTAGCATCTCTAGTTGATGGGTTCCAAAATTTAATTAGTTGTTTTATATTTTACTTTGGTTC